GCTGGTATATATTACTTATGGCAATAGGCAGGGGTCACACCCACCAACTGCCCCTGGTGCCGTGTAATCTCATCAATGGCCAAGACCCAGAGACTAAAACCCAGCTCCCTGAAGAGAACAGCGCAGAGTCTCCTGCCCCCACACTTGGCTGGTATATATTACTTATGGCAGTAGGCAGGGGTCACACCCACCAACTGCCCCTCTCCTCCCTGCCCACCCCCCCCCCCCCCGCGCTTTGTAATCCCATCAATGGCCAAGACCCAGAGACTATAAAACCCAGCTCCCAGAAGTGAATGCGGCCGTGTGACATCTTATTGTCTCATTCTTACTTTGGACAACCTGGCAGGCTACCGAATGTAACCTGCCCACACGGCAGAGTCTGGCAGACTCCCCGTTGTGTACCCAATATGCCAAATACCAGTAACAATGATGGATGTCATTCTTCTAACCCTTCTTGAATATGGCACTTTTTAAAATCTCAGGGTTAGGGCGAAGGAGATGTTACTGGTGCCTGCTCGTGGCCATCGACAAACAACAGGATGATCGTGATGGTGATGGAAATTAAATAGGTGTAAATTTAGCTCAATGCTGAATGAAATAACTATTAAAACTTACCAAAGTTTTCTTGTTGCATTTTTTAGTCAAAACATAACTTAAAGCTGCATTGGGCAGGGTTTCTTATGACAAGCTAACTAGACATGAGTTTATATTTTTCATTTACATACTATGTATTTTGATACACTATGTTACTGCCAATAATTATGACTGATCTACACCCAACCTGCCCTTCAGCATTTTATTAAATCTCTTCAGCAGTGACTCATAATTCGTCAAAATGTACATTTGTGTTAACAAGTTTTAAGAAATACAAGAGAGAAGATACATCTTTTAAAAAATTAAAAGTTAAGTGGCTAAATTAAGTGACGGGGAAATGCTAAATACTAAGGCAGAGTCTTTTTTCTTAATTACTACTTCCAGAAATAATGTGGACTGATGCTCAACACAGGGCAAATATTCACAAGTTCCCCCAAAATACCTTGTGTTATTTTTATTACATACAGTAAAATGCAAACCTCTTAGTATACTCATTTCAAACCCTCAAGTATGCTAGTTTAAGATCCTCAGACACCTCTGGTTCCCATTTTTCCATCAGAGTTTTTTCTTAAATTTTTTTTTAAAGGAAAATAAACAAATTTTCAGCTCCTTGAAAGGAGAATATTTGTGGAGAAAATAAATGAACAGTTGGAAGTCTCAAGACAAACATGGAAGTAGCATTATTTATCAAAGTTAAGAGAAACAATCTCTCTTGTAAATTTTAATTATTTGGGGGATATTCTCAACAAAATTGTTATTGTTGAAAACAGCTACCAAATACAAAGCACTGAGGTGGAAGCAAACATCTAATCCAAACTTATTTCTAGCTCCTTACAAAAGTAGAGAGACCACACCTAGGCAGTTCATTGCCAGCAAGGAACAGATTGTATTCATATCCCAAGTAACTAAGTAAAGGTGACTTTTAAGTTATATGTTGAGTATTAGTGTGAAGCTTAGAGTAAAGTCTGAAAATATTCAGAGAAGTATTTTTTTGTTTTTTGGTTTTTTTTTTTGGGTGGTCACACCTGGTGGTGCTCAGGGACTATTCCTGGCTCTGCACTCAGTGCTCGAGGGACCATATGGGATGCTGGTGATCCAACCCGGTGGGCTGTGTGCAAAGCAAACACCCTCCCCACTGTACTATTGCTCTGGCCTCTCAAAGAAGTATTTGATGGTCAGTATTACAACTTTCTAGAGAGGTCCTTACTTATGGGGGAAGGGTTCTAGTAACACTGAGGAAGATGAGAAATAACCTATGTTACAACCATCCGAGCCACAGCTCATCTACCTCCCTTAATTACAGAGTTCACTCTGTCATTCCCTGGTCCTCAAATGGGAATATTCTCCAGGACACAGAACACTTTCCGGTCCTCTCACTGCATGAAATTGCCCTGTCCTTAGTTTGACATTGAAGACATCTATGAATTTAGGTGCACAGGTAAAATTGATGGTCAGTGTCATCCAGAACAATTTGAAAGACTAAGTTCAAATATGTAGTAGCAACAGTCGAGAATGAAGGCACAATAAAAGGTAAAAATAGGCAAACAGTAAAGCCTCAAGAGCAACACAACTCCTAGGAACAGTTAGCTATCGTCTGCTTCCATTGGCTTCTTATGCACTTGACGAGCAGGGTTGCAAAAATTGATCTCCCAAGGCTGTGGTAAGGTCACAGAAATTGATAACCCTTACAAGCAATGCTTATGTGAGTCTGTCTGTGTCTTGCAGATAATGCACTTTGTAAATTAATCCTCCAAAGGCAAATATATTGTAAGTAGCTTGTTATCTCTAAAATACTAAATTGAAGAATACATGGGATTATATTGACAGAAATTACATTTTCTGTAATGGGGTTTAATATATCTGAAATCTCTCCCAAAGGCTCCCAGGCTCTCTAACAGAGAAGGTCTGTTAATGTAGGTGCAATGGACATCAAAAACAGATTTATTCACCAAAATGGATTAGGCCATGTAATCAGAGATTCTGTAATATTAATCTTTGACACTTATTGAACAGCAAGAAATACTCCAGTCTACAAACTGGCATTCCCAGTTCTCCCCTTTCCCAAACCTGGTTTTCGGCCTCCTCTGGATTTTACTTCAGAGGATAATGTTACCCCATCATAAACAGTAATCTAAAAATATTAGGACAATTAATTAGATACACTTAGTTTTAGAGGATATTAAATTTCCATATCCTTCAAATATGACACTAGCTCTGGGTGACTGTAAGAAATCTGGCTTTCAGCACATTGACCAAAGGTAATAAATCATACTTTCTCAAAGCCTCACACCACACAGCCACACATCGTCAGAATTTTGTTGCCTAGTCTTTGGCACACAATCTCATCTTCTCTCCAAATAGGAAATTCACACATTTATTTAAAAACAGTACAACCCTGCCCTGGGTACATTAGGGCTTACATAGCTTCAAGCTAGAAACGTAATTTCTCCTTTACAATAAATGGAAGATAAGAGAAAAAGTGGGAAACTCTCCTTGAATGCTGAGTCCTCATGAAATCTAACTGCATTTAATTATTTGAATTTAAAGCCTGACAGATATGTGATGGTGTATTTTCTTATTTTATAGGAAAAAAGGATGTTGCCACTCTCTATATCAATTATCCTGAGGGTCGGGGGGGGGAAGCTAGGGAGAAAGAAACATTTACGGAGTCATAGTGAATGTGGACTAAGTACTTGTACTGTACTTAAAACAAGCCATTTTTAAAGGAGGTCAAAAGCAATACAGTGGTCGGGGGTATAGTGCTGCCAGCAGGTCAATCTGTACCTGTGAGGCGAGTGCATCAGCAGCCTGATGGCGCCTTCAGACTTCCAGATACACCAAAATTGCTGCTGTGCCTTTGGCCAGACCCCAAAAACTTGGGGCAAAGTTTAGCAAGAAAGAAAACAGCCAAAAGTTAGGTATGTGGGAGATACAACCACGAACCACCTCCAGCTCAGCTATATAATTGGAGGCATGGCCTCTCTGGTTCCTGACCATCATCATGGTCATGGTCATGGTCATGACCAGGAATGACCATGATCCCAGAGACTCAGAAACAAATCTCGAAACCTAGTGACTTTTGGCAGAAATGCATCTGGACCCTGAACTAGATTACTGTCGCCGGGCCACCCCAGGGGGGATAGGGTGTTGTCACTCCGCCTGCTCCCCCTTGGTGGCTCCATGGCCGTCATCCTCCAGAGGCCATTAGACAGTCAGGTTTGGGCCCGCAGTGACAAGACATTTTGGGCCTCATGGGATGGGGGTGGAGCCGGTCCTGTCCTCGACACCCCAATGAGACCCCAAGTCATCGCCCACGAACGGCCTTTCTGGCTCCTGATCAAGCTGCTCAATGGCTATGATCCCAGAGACTCGGGAGCAAATCTCGGAACCCAGAAGGTTTGGGCAGAAATCCCTCCAGATTTAAGTGTTAAAATTTTGGAATTTCAAAATCGCACGGCCACTACTGCAGCCACGTGACATCATATGTTATTCATAACCAGCAATAGAAAAAAAAATTGTCTACTGTTGCCTTTTCAGCAGATCCGAGTTTTGGGGTAAAATCTCAAATAATAACGGTGGATCTGGTGTTAAAATATTGAATGCGATCAAAGTAGAGAGAGAGAGTAATGTGGAGATCATCTGCCCCACAGCTAGGGGGAAGGTATGGGATGGAGGTATACTGGGGTTGTTGGGGGTGGAGAATGTGCACTGGTGAAGGTATGGGTGTTTCGTTGTATGACCGAGATTTAGGCCTGAAAGCTTTGTAACTGCTCTCACAGTGATTCAATAAATAAAATTATAAAAAATGAAAAAAAAAGTAAGGTGGAGTTCATGCACAATTCAATCAGCTGATCAGTGGCTGAATAAATAGCAGTACTCCTACATAAAAAAAAAGCAATACAGTGGTTTCTTATACATAGTTTCAGTCCCTGAGGTCAAATGTGGTTCCAGAACATGTACTGTAAAATATTTGGACAGAGAAATAAGATACCACATTCACATCATTTTTGTTATTACATAACATTTTATAATGGTTCAAATTTATTAGTAGTAATTATTTTAACCTCACTTTGCTTAATTTACAAATTAAATTTTCCCACATATCTGTATGTACAGAGAAAGAAAGTGTATATTGGGTCTAGACTATCCCAGAGATCTTGGAATATATTCCCTGGAGATAAAAGGGAATTATATATGGTGCTCTCTTATCCATACTGGCAAGGCTCTCTCTCACCTATCAGTTGTTTTAACCTTTGGATCAATAAACCACCAGGGGAGAAAATGGTAACAACTGGGTGTGTCTTGTTAATGCAAAACAATAGCTGCAAAAAAGAAAAAAAAAAACAATAGCTGCAGGTGACCAGAGGGGAAGCAGACTGTGTGTAACACGAAGCCAAAGGACTCACCAATTGTTCACTTGAAGGATGGTGAGTCCCGTGTCTTGTGCCAACTGCTTCTTCTGTTCTTCAGAAGGGTAAGGGTGCTGAAAGAGAACAAAAAAAGGACAGGTGTATACACAGAAACTTTGGACAGATAATGTGGTGCACATCAGGTGCTAGGGAGTCAATAACTGTAAGGGCTAGCGATTCTATAATAAGCACATACGTGCAGTAGGAAAAAAGTATGTGTACATCAGGCAAGATATAGACTATTTTGTCAATAACCTAAGTGTGTAGTGAAGTCTGTAATTAAAGGTAAAAATGCTGAGGTGTGTCACTCTTATTAATGGAATACTACATCATCTAATTAATGGCAATAAAAGACAAGCCAATTACAAAGATTAGTGAAGTGTATAAATAGCTACTTAGGATACTTTGCAGAACCTTGATACTGAGTTTATCCTTTAACAGGTTTATTTGTTGCTAACAGAAAATTTAGTGTGATCTCCATTGTGTTTTCTAGGATTTAAATAAGGACAAGTTCCTTTTGACCATGCAAAAGTGTTGCATCTTGACTTAATATCTTACAGAACTGTGACTTTCAAAGCTGAAATATATGGACCAATAATCTCAATTGTAATCCCTACTAGTTAAGCATCTTATTAGCCTGAAATTCTCCCTCTAAAACACCATTGCCAGGTTCAGATATTACAAATGAATTGTTTTTTAGGGGGGCCACATCTTGGGTGCTACACCAGAACCAGTTCTCTAGAGTTGCTCTCACCAGTGCTTGTGGGACCATGTGGTGCTGGAGAGAGAACCAGGCCTCCACATGGAAATCATTTTCTCCAGCTCTTTAGGCTATCTTACCAGCCCCATATGCATTTTTTAAACCAGAGCCCGGCAAGCTACCGAGAGTATTCGATATGCCAGACACAGTAACAACAAAGTCTCCAATGGAGACGTTACTGGGCCCGCTCGAGCAAATCGACGATCAACGGGAGGGCCTTTACCTTTTTATTCTTTTTAACTGTTCTGTAAAGCCCAATAAATAAAATTATTAAGCCAAAGTTGGTTTTCAAATATGAATGCTGGGTTTCAAATATATGGGTTCATATATATGGGTTTAAATATATATGGGTTCAAATATATATGGGTTCAAATATATATGGGTTCAAATATATGGGTTCAAATATATGCTGGGTTTCTGAATACAAACAGTAAAAGGTCTAAGATCATCATATTTTTTGTAGGAAGGATAAGAATAAGTCCTGTTAGGTTCCTCATGAGCTACAAGAGATTAAAAGTGCAATCCAGAATAAAATACTAAAATAAAATCCATACCTTCATTTAGCAATTAGAATTTAAAATTCTACAGACACTAATTTTGTCATAAATACTTTCTGTTCAGTTTTCAACTATATCTGTAGTTGCAAATGGGGATACAGACATGGTTCCTGTGTATACAGATGCTGGTTTGAATCAGTAGATTTCAGGAACATCTCCTAAGATAAAAACCCATTCTAATAGTCAATACTTTGTTCTCATGAATGGAAAAGGGCACCCCCAACTTTCAATTTAACTATCTGTCACATTGGAAACTAAATTTCTGTCTATTGAATGTTAATTAACATGGCTTTTAATCTCATTAATAATGTCTGATTAGAGGCTAAGAAGCCTCGCTAATGACCACTTCAGTGCTCTTATATCTAAGTTTAAATATCTTCTAGATACATACACATGGGATTCATTTGTGAAGGGCAGAGATGTAGCAATTTTTCCCATAAGCATTGTCTTTGATTGTCACTTAATCAATAAATACACAATTAGAATAAGGCTTTGCTTTCATGGAATATAGTGCCTTTCTCTAAAGATCTCCAAGTATATTACAGAGAGCATGGTTATTAATCCCCATTATATCCCTTTGAGGGACATTAATGGAATCTATTGTCTCTCATTTTACAGGTGAGGAAACTGGGCAAGGGAAGCCTCAGAGAGACATGACTGAGACTTAACAGAAACAAGACATTTCCTGCTTCTCTTCCAGTGTTGGAGCCTTACTCTGACTAAAGGATGTCCTCCAGATTACTCACCCTGCTCAAGACTGACCAACATCTAATCCTCTCCTCTCCTCTGTCCAGTCCTGCAGTCTTCCCTACTGCTCAGCTTACTGCACCACTATCACATCCCTGCCTCTGCTCAAATGCTGAGCCTTACCTATCTCACTCACCAGCACACCGTATCACTCTCACACCAGTCCTTTGCTTTCTTTCCATAACTAAAAGCACCACTCTCATAAACACCTGTTTTTACTTATTTCTTAGTGACATGTCTTCCCAATAATTACCAATTCTAAAATCCACAGCCTTCTTATTCACCATCCTCAGAGTTTGTACCACTAGCACATATCAGAAAGTCAGGAAATAGCTGTGGAACAAAAATTAGCTATAATTTGCCATGATACCGAGATAAACTCAACTCAGATGCAACATCAAAATACAAACACTTTTAAAAGCTCACAGGAAGTATAAATAATCCAATTTAAGATCCACAGCAGTACTTTTCTGGCTTATTCTTAAAGTAATGCTGACACAGTTTTCAAAGAAAGATATATAAACCTCACAAAAGGCTAAGATCAAAGGTGACAATCACCCTACTCAGCATAATGCCAGTCATCATCATCACTGGAAAAAAAATCTCATAAATAGATTCTGAGCTAAAAGCAATCCACTACCCTAAAGTGATAGCCACTGTGTAAAGGTTTGTCACACAATACAACCATATGAATCTGTTATCCTATGAATATCCAATGTAATGGTGGCCTGAGATACAGTAGTTCTATGTTTATAATAACTTAAAATTTGACATAACAATACATATGACCCTTTAAAATTGTGTAATTATTGTTACCAGTCAGAACTCTGACTTTCAACACGGGAAAACTTTTCTAATCCTCAGTTTCTATTCTTGTAGAATAGAAGCCTGATTTCAAAATATGCACATTTTGGTATCCAGTTGCTGGATTATTTTCTATATGAAGATAAAGGCTGACACATATACAAATCATTTCCAAACTGTAATATTTGAGGTGATAAAATTTTTTCGGTTCTGTAGATCCTCTGGAAATCTCTGAATGATTTTCAAAAGAACTAAAGCTCATGATAGCTGGATGGCAAAGCCTTTTGCCTTGCTTTGTTGATTGTCTTAATATTTGACCAGAACTGGATAAAAATGAATATTTATGTCATTTACCTTTAACTAGTTTGGAAATTGAGAATTGTCATAGTCATTTATTTATCTTGTGTTTTTCAAGTATATTTTTACATGCCTGTTTGTGAGCAAGACATACTCATTTTTACAAAGCAAAAAGAGTTCACATTTTATTTATACAAATGATGTCAGGAAAATTCTCTATGGATCATTACAATTACCTGGGTCCTTACAGCTTCAAGGGGCAATCAAATAGCCCTTAAAGTTTTAGCACAAATTTTAGCTGTTTCTGCATATCATGCAGTTTCTGATTTCATAATTTAAATATCACAAAATGAGAAAGTACTACCCTTTTTTCCCTCTGTCACTTTTCATGTGATATGATTTTAAGTAATTGGAACAAACTGTATCTAATTTCATGCAGCATAATTGCTAGGCAGCCTCAAGCTATGGAGACCAAGCACTCTGTCTCTATTAAACAATTTTCAGTGATTCAGGATATATTATTTTAATAGAAATGAATGAGCCTGAAAAAAATTAAATGTCATAATAATCTGGCTATTGTTAAGAGGGGACAAGGTAGCGACAAGATTCCTAACCTCTTGTCAATGGCGGGTCAAATGAATGCTTTTCTTCTTTTGAGTTCTTGGCAGTGGTATCCCATAAACTTTAAATTCTCTGAAAAAAACCTATAATTGCTAAAATCACATGAAAGCCATGACTTGAGGTAGATAATCCATAGTCAGCAAAAGAAGTGGGCTTTTTAACTGAAATCCAATATGTTTAAATATCTTAAATCCTATGCATCTTTACTAGATAAGCTTTTTGTGGAAAGTATAAGTTATTCCTTTGTAGATTAAAAAAAAATGACAGAAACCAAACATGCCACAGGCAAGGTTGCTCTGAAAACACTCCAAGTCCTGTTGCATTCTGTCCACAGGAACAGTGAGGCCAAGAAACAGGCAAAGGTAGGCATCATTTTGCAAAAGAGATAAAGAGTCATTCCTTTTTAAGGAAGAAAATTAGATATTCATTTCAAACCATTACAACTAAGGACATTGGTACCATACTCCTGCATACCTTTGCAATTATTGAAACTAAATGAAAAAGACAGTAGTGTAAGAAAGATTAGTAGGTTCTTGTAAAGAAAAGATGGGTTGCACTTGCCAGATATACCAATAAATTTAATCGCTTTGGGATATCAAAGCAAATTTGACTACAGTCCAATAGACAGTGACAGGAGACCTCGACTTTGTTGTGTACATTAGACCTGTGCCATTATCTCCTAAAAGCTTAATTATCTGCAAACAATTGATCAAGATGGGAATTTGAGAAAGGATATGCAAGGGCCATTGGGAGAACTGCAATGCATTAAGAGAGCAAACAAAATTACATTTAGATCTTACAATAAGAATTAACGATTGAGAGGAGACCTAGATATGTAGTAGTTGCCAGGGTTCTTTCTAGGGTGTTTCCCATTGATCTGCATTAACACCTCAGAAATGAGTGAAAGCCATAAAACAGTGATTGTGTATGGGCAAAGCTGACCCTCCCTTTCAGCAATCGAACTGCACATGCAGTAGGCTGGCATCTCTGTTTGTTTGTTTGCTTTGGGCTTATCCTGGCTTTGTGCTCAAACAGGGCTTACTGCCGGCTCTGTGCTCAGGGATCACTCCAGGCAGCGCTTAGAAAGAAAACTTGGTTGGCAGCATGTACAAAAAATGCTATATTCCTGTACTCTCTGGCCCACAGGCTGGCTTTTCTAATGAGAGAAGAGATGCTGGACTCAATGAGAAAAATAAGTGACTTCTAGGCAGTTGAGCACCCAGCTAAAGGAACTAACTCCCACAATGATTGTCCTTATTCCAATAATCAACACTCTGGCTACTCCTTT